TTTTTTTAATGTTTATTTATTTTTGAGAGAGAGAGAGAGAGAGAGAGAGAGAGCATGAGTGGGGACGGGGCAGAGAGAGAAGGAAACACAGAACCCGAAGCAGGCTCTGAGCTGCCAGCACAGAGTCTGACACAAGGCTCGAACCCACGAACAGTGAGATCATGACCTGAGCTGAAGTCGGATGCTTAATCAACTGAGCCACCCAGGGGCCCCTAGTCATTTCTTTTATGACATTTATCCACCTATGCATACACATATTGCAGATACATATATGTATACAATCATGTGTTTATGTGTTTTATTTACAGTTCAAAAAGCAGTTCTTATTTCAAAACTAAAGAAAATTCCCTTTAGTCTTTTAGTCTAGTATTTTTAGTTTTATTTTCACATTTTATCTTTGGTCCTCCTGTAATTTAAGTTGGTGTAAGGGTTAAGTTGGGATTCAAGTGATTTTTCTAAATGGTCAACTAGTTGTCTTAATGTAATTTATGGAGTTATCTTTTTTTAATGTTTATTTTATTTTTGTGTGAGAGAGAGCCAGAGCATGAGTAGGGGAGAAGCAGAGAGAGAGGGAGACACAGATTTCAAATGAGGCTCCAGGCTCTGAGCTGTCAGCACAAAGCCTGATGCGGGGGTCGAACTCACAAATTGCAAGATCATGACTTGAGCCAAAGTCGGACACTTAACCAACGGAGCCACCAGGTGCCCCTGGAGTTACCTATGTTTGAAATGTCAGCCTGAATATTTACTAAAAACCCAGATCTACTTGGGTCTATTTCTAAACTCTTTATTCTGTTTCATTGATCAACTTGTCTATTCCTACAGTAGAACTACACTGCTAATCACATTTTTCAAGATTCCTTATGATTTTTAGTCTATTTATTCTGTCATTGACTGAAAATATTGTATCTGTGAATTCCCCATTGAATTTCCAAATAGCAAATTTTATTCATATCATATCATCTGGCACATAAAAATCCATCATTGTTATATTAAATCTGGGACTTACATTTTTATTGATATAAAATGACCAACTCTTTCTTGCTCAAGACTTTTTGCTAGAATTCTAACTATATAGATTCTAAAGTAGTTTCTCAGGTTTACTTTTCCTGTTCATGTCCTAAATATACCTTTTCTGACTCTATATTTTTAAACCTTTACTATTTTTAAAATTAATTCAACCCGACCAGCTTTTACACTTAATAAAGGGACCTAATTATATTCCCTGTCATAACTAGTTTCCTGAATTTCTGTTGTTTTATTTGATATATTGTGCTTCTCTTACACTATTTATTTTGTTATTATTCACATTATTGAATATATTCTTATGTTTGGTATGATCTTTCTGGGAAATTTAGAGAGTATGATCTTCCCTTAATTCTGTTGTGATTTAATTCTATTCGTGATTATCGTCAAATTTTTCAAACTTATATTGTCACAATCTATAGCAGAGTAAGATTTTTAGTTTTTGGCTGAAGTCAGCATTTTGTGCAACCCTCCCCACCATAATCTTTGCTTTATAAACTCTGACATTGATACGTCTTTTGTCTCCCTCTTTCCTATTTTCTGCCTTCCTTCCTTCCTCTTTTAACTATACTCTAAAGAGGCAACAAGCATACAGAAGTTCACAACCAATCTAGACAGCTCAGTTAAATAACCATCCAGCCAGAAGCCCACCTCATGGGCCAGTCAGAACCTCCTCCCTAATCACCAACATTTAATCAGCACCCTAACTCAGAGTAATCACTACTTAGATGTTCTTTATCATTTTCCCACTCAAGCATGCCTCTTCTAAATAGTATTGTCATCTTTTCCTGCTTTTTGAACTTGATATAAATGATATTGTACCCTCTGTAGGCTTCTGTATGTTTTTAATTTAACATTACATTTGTGAGATTCAGCCATGTTTTAACCTGTAATTTTAGTTCGTAGTTTCCAACAAGACTTCTGCTTCATCTTTATATTTATTTTTCTGTATGAAACTTGCCTTTTTCTTCTGATTGTTTTGAAATTCTTCTGTTTATCACTGGTGTTGAGCAAGTTGATCATCATGTACTCAGTATTTTCTTTATGTTTCTTGTGATTTGGGGTTGTAGAACTTGGCTATGCGGGTTCACAGTTCTCATCAGTTTTGAAAATTTTCAACTATTTTTACTTCAAGTTTTTTTTCTCTCCCTTTCCAATGCTTGCCTTCAGAGATTTCAATTTATGTATATTGGAATTAGAATCACCTTTCACGTTCTTTGTAGTTCACTGATGACCTTTTCATAGTTTTCAGTCATTTATTCTCTGTATTCCAATTTGGATAATTTCTATTGCTACATCTTCAAATCCACTAATCTTTTCTTCTGCAGTGGTTAATCTGCCATTATTCCCATCAAGTGTAATTTTCATCTCTAGAAATTCAATCTGGGTCATTTTATGTCTTTAATATCTCTAATTAACGTAAACTCCTTCTTTTAGCTTTCAGAAGATGTGGAATACAATTATAATACCTTTTAACATGGCTTTTCATATTAATTATGCTATCTATGCCATATCTGAATTGATTTATATTAACTGATTTTGCTTCTCTTATAGGTCATATCTTCCTGCTTCTTATCAAGAATTGGTATCATTGATATTTATTTAGGCTTATCAAATAATTACTATTTACCTTGCTTGTAATTCTTTTCATTTGTTCCTTCTAGTACATTTGTGAGAGATTTTATCATTTTCTCCTCTCTATTTGTTCCCTTCAGCATTTGCCATTAATTTTTTTTCTCTACTGTTTTTATTTTGGATATATTCTTTTGACCTAAATTATAGTTCACAAATTCTCTTTTATTTGTGTCTAATATGTGGTTAAACCATGAATCTATTCATTACATTCTTCATTTCGGTAATGGCATCTTTCACTTCTAGATTTTCTTTTCGTTTTTGTTCATGTTATTTTCTTTTGTTTTGAATTTCCAGTTCTCAGGTAAATTTTTCAGTCTTGTCTTTATCCCCCATACTAGCAATCATAAAAATTAATTTATACTTTGTGTGCTTTATTTATATACAATCTGTACTTTATTTATATACTTTTTACACTTTATTTTATAATAACTCTAATATTTTCAGCCCAAAAGGGCGAATTTCTCTTGACTGTTTTTAATGTTACCTTGTTTCATTGGGTGGCGGGGGGGGGACTATTATTTTGTATGTGTGTGCTGGACATTATGTTTAACAAATTGTTTTGGTAAATGGTTTGACACCTACAATACATTTTTTTTTTCTCCATTTAATAAATGTTTTACCTTTGTTTTTCTTAGGTGACTACCAGGACTAGCATTCTGGGTTGGTCTTAGTTATATTTGAGGATTGAGATGATTCAAAGCTGGTCACCAGTCTTTCAGAAAGCTGGTCTACTGTGGGTTTATTCTTTCTACTGGGGTACATATCTTTTCGGTTCCAACACAAAAACTAGGGGGTTGCTGTGGTCCCTTGTTCTTGTCAGTGATGGGACTTCAGATACCTTTTGTAGAATCAGCAAATGACCCAAGATAAAAACAGCTTCAAATTCTGAACTCACATCTCTGGATATTTATTTTTTCCCAGAACCTAGTCTGACAATTCTTCACTATCTTGTTAGCTCTCTGTTGCCCTTAAACAGACTCCATAATTTTTGTTTGTTTGTTTTTTGTGGATTTTTTTTTTAATGTTTTATTTATTTCTAGGAGAGAGAGAGAGAGACAGCGTGAGCAGAGGAGGGTCAGAGAGAGAGGGAGTCACAGACTGAAACAGGCTCCAGGCTCTGAGCCGGCAGTCAGCACAGAGCCCGACGCGGGGCTCAAACCCATGAACCGCGAGATCATGACCTAAGCGAAAGTCGGACGCTCAACCGACTAAGCCACCCAGGCGCCCCAGTTTTTTGTGGATTTTTATTGGTGTAGGTTGTCTCATTATCTTCAGTGACAGTAACAGTCTGAATTATTTAGACTTTCATTCCTGAGAGCAGAAGTCTTTCCTTTTACTTTAGCATTTTGAAACAACACACTATAATTTCCAAAGATAAAAGCAAAAATTTAATTAAGATATTCTGATATTAATTTTGAAGCAATTATTTCAACGTTTTCATACATTTAATGAGTCTCTTATCATATAGTCGTTTCCAAATGAGCCTTTCTCAGGCTTGACTTTTTCCTTTCTTTCTATATTTATTATTTTTGCACAGGATTTCTGTTAGTTTATTCAGAAAGGATACTGGAGTGGTGTATTTTCTTAATCTATGTTTTCCTGAGAAAATATTACTCTTGACTTCATGCATGAATAATGACTTCACTAAATATAGAAACTGTGTCCTTTAGAGCAATGGAAATGTTACTCCATTTCATCTAGTATTTAGAATTGCAGAAGAAGAAAGCAGATGCTAACCTGATTTTGGTGACTTTGTTTGTAACCTGATTTTGATTTTCCAAATGCTTTAAAAGGCTTTTTTTTTTTTTAAATCACTTATCTTCAGAAATTCCATGAGGCTTTGCAGATTTCTGTTCTTATTTGAGTTTTTAGTAACTTGGCCTATAAACACGTGTATCCTTGTGCTTTGGGTGGAGGAACTGGTTTGCATTAAGAAAACCTTTTTTTCTGTTATTTTTCTAAAGACTGTTTCATTTCCATTTGTTCTAGTCTCTCTTCTTGGTATTCTGAGGATATGTAGATTCAGTCTCCTAGATATATTCTCTACATGTCTCACATTTATTATCATTGTTGTTATATCTTCATTTCTGTAGTTGCAAACCTAGTGCCTATAGAGTATAGGCAAGTAACAAAAATAAATAAATCTAGCCTGGTACAAAAGTAAGTGATGGGGATTGTGGAGAGCAAATTTCCCTTCCAAACTTGGCAGGTACCAATCACTTGATATTCATAGCTAATAAAATATAACCAGATTCCATTATTGCCTGAGAGAAACTAAATTTTTTTTAAAGTAGTATTTTTCAGTAGGAAAAAAAAAGAAAAAGGAGCTCATAACTTACCATTAGGATGATCTTGGTCACACACAGAATGATCTGTTACTTCATTGTCTTTTGTAATACTGTTGTCCTTTGCAGAATCTGACACAACAAACGAGCAAAACCTCTAGTCAGCATATTTTTAAGCTTATTTATTTATTTTGAGAGAGACAGAGAGCACATGTGGTGGAGGGGCAGAAAGAGAGGAGAGATAAAGAATCCCAAGCAAGCTCCACACGGCCAGTACAGAGCCCAATGCAGAGCCTTAACACACAAAGCCACAAGATTATGACCTGAGCCAAAACCAAGAGTCAGATGCTTAACCAATTGAACCACCCAGGCACCCCTATTCAGCATTTTTAACTAGGAAGTAGAGCAGCTTCCAGCACTGCCATGATAGCTCTATCTTTGGGGAATGGAATTTGTTATTTTTAAAAAATATCATTAAAAGACCTACATGTTTTCATCAATAAATAAGCCATCCTTAAAGTACTGTGTAAGATGTTTGTACAGAGTTTACAAAAGCAAAGAGGGTAGAAATTTGATTGGGTCATCTTTTTGCAACAAAGAACAAAATGTAAGCAGGCTTTGTGTATTAGTGAAAGTCTTTGGAGAATTGTGCAAAAGGATATGAAAGGAAGGCAAAGTAGAGGAGATTAAAGGAACATCAGTTTTAATGTTCTTAATGCTTCCATTACTGCAATTGTTCATATATGAGAGCTTTGAGTCCTTGAAAAAAGCTAAATGTAGACCTTTGAAATCCAGTTGTAATTAAGTTCATCTTCCTGAGGAACTCTACCAGTAGAACAATAGCAAAGGAGAATGCAAACCTTCTGTTGTATGCAAGTTCATCTTCTCCCTTCTATAGCATATTTAAATATGAGGTCAGTGTAAATTCATCTTCTTCTATTATATGATATACTTACAAGAAATAACATGGCCCACTAGATTTCAATGACTATGGACTCTTGCAAGACTATGCAGGACTCCTTGTTGGATATTTGAGGCTTCTCTGTAGGCTCTTTAGAAAGCCATTGGAAAGAGCATGTGGTTGTGTCAGTGGGAAGATAGAAAATAGGTCTTTCATTCATTCCAAAAACATTTATTAAGAGCCAACTCAATGCCAGACACTTCTTGAGGCTGGGGGGGCGGTTAATTGTAATTGACTTTGCTCCCCTAGAGGTTACAATCTAGGGCATATTTTTCATGCAGCTAAAAGGGTGGTAATAATCTAAATATATCTAAAAGCCATGAGCTGATCTTCCATGCATATGGCCATGGAAAAAACGTGATGGCAGACTGACACGTGTTTTACAAATGGGCTCTCTACTGAGTTCACATTGCTCCATTGAGTTACAACTCCGAACAGAGCTGAATCAGATGGAATAAATCATTTTCTCTTTGTTTCCTTATTCCTTTTCCCTTTCTCCCTCCCCACACTAGGAGATAGTTTTAAACAATATGGTTTAGAATATTATGAGAAAGTTTGTTTCTTGAACCTGCCACAAGCAACATTTGATGGACAAGTGAGAAACCTGGGTAGTTAACATCTGATTTGAATTTAATAACCAGTGAAGCAAGTATACACCCAAAGTGTATGATTTTAATTAACTGCAAATAATTCCCCCAAGGCAAATGTTTAATTATCTGCACAGCTTCTTATTTCTTTCTGAGACTGACAATAAATTCCAAAGTCCAAATCTGGAAGCAAAACTGAGGATAGACACACTTTCCAAAGAATTTTCTCACTCAAGTCAAATTGTTTTAAACCAGCTCCCATTAAACATGTTTTTTTTAAATTTTGGCTCTAACATGTGGATTACAAAAAAAAAAAATCCTTGAATACTTTCTTCCACATTACCACCGAAAGTGAACAATGATTTTAAAAAGGTACTATATAAATCAGGCTTGATTTTAATTTTGGAAATTTTATTTGTTTATAGAAAATGGCATCATTTGATGTCTTGGGCAACACTCATTTCCCTCAACATTAATGTTTTAAGATTATCCAAGATTTTGCATGGAGTTAAAATGTATTTGTTTACATTCCACAATAATTCATTATGCTTTATAATTTACATAAACATTGTGTTTCATGCACTAAATATTATATAACAAATGTCTTTTAAAAAGTGATTTACATTGAGTTTATCGGCTTATGGTCTAATGATTCACATATGATGGATGATAGTATTTGAAAAATTAATCTCTGGACTATCACCAAAATCTGTGTCTCTAGCAAATTAATTGACCTTTCAGTTTCAATTTCCTTGGAGAACTGTTTTAACATTGCTAAGGTGCTTTCTGATCTTATGTGCTCTGATCTATAGGTAATGTATTTCATTGAATCTGAGACACCACCAATTGTTATTTTCACTATTATATGGGTTAGAAAAAAATGCTACCAAATGAACTATGATTAACACACTATTAATTTAAGAATGTGTCCTAATTTTAGAAATAAAATATATAAAACACTATATATATATATATATATATATATCCTCGAACTGCATTCTGGGTGTACACAAATACATGTCTTTATGTGATGGCAAGGATTTCCTATCAACATGACCCATCACCAAACTCACAAGTTAATTTTGGTTTGTATTTGAAATGGTGGCACCTCCACATACAACAGTAAAGCAGGATGACAGCTGTAGGACCATGACAGCATCCACACATGACCAGGTGGCCAGGAAAGACTATTTCCACTGCAGTTTCTCTTTCCAAAGGGCTATTTGAATTCCTAGTCACATGAACCTTGGCAAGATTGGATGTTGAATGTTTTAATCATAGATCCTATTATGTTATACTTAGTTGGGGGGTTGAAATGACAGTGGAGTGTTTGTGTCTAGAGGATGATGAAAGTTGCACTGTATATGTATAAAAATATTATTCATAATGAGAAAGAAAGAAAATACGTCTAGTATATATGGTCACTAAAAGGGTGGATTATTTCCGTGTAAGTTCTATAAACTACCCTCAAAAAATGTAGTGATAAATACTAAATTCTTGCAGTACCTTGGATTCATCTTATTTAATTCTAAAAATTATCATGTGGTAATGTTCAAAAAATGTAAAAGGGTTATCACCTAATTCTGAGATTCAGTCAATGTTATTTTAATAGCTGAGAACTGGAATTAAATTTATATGTAGATTCAGACTTTCAAAATCTTTAAGGTCAATGTTCTATTAGAAAATTTTTTCAAGTGCAAATATTAAGTTGAATATTCAAACCAAAGTTCTGAAGACAGATTATCTTCTAACAAGAATAAAAAGATATACTTTCATAAATTAAAACAAAATCTCCTCAATTAGGAAGTTGAGAAGGTTTAAAAGCGTGTTTAAAATAGATTAAAATAAAAAAACATAAAACAGAAATTCTAAAAAGTAGGTCATTTTTAATACAGTCAATTACACATGTCTATACAGAATAGTACATGTATAGATTGAAGATGTGACGGCAAATGATGAAACTATTGAATTTTTAATAAACATATCTAAACTATAAATTAAAATAGATGCTATCTCTTCTGCGAATGTCCCCTTAACAACAAAAGTTCTTAACCCTTGAATATACTCTAGGGGTCCACAAACCTTTTTGAATTGATATGTAAAATGTGTACATATATTGTTATACATTTCTCTAGAAGGAGATTGCTTTCATCATACTCTCATAGGGACCCATGAACCCAGCAAGGTTAAAAATGTACACCTTGATGCCAGTGACACTGTTACTTTACAAAAGATTTTCAAGATTATAATTGAGAATTGTCTACAGAACTTGATGCCCACCCCATGAATTTATAAGTGATGTCTCTTGAAATCCTAAGGTAGATTTGACTTGAAGAAATAGCCAAAAACATACACAGATGTGTTTAATAAGTGAAGAGGGCAGACCAGCTGGTAAACAACATTTTGCATCAAAATTAGAAATGACTATAAAGTACAAAATGGAACGATGATTCACAGTCTTTGAAAACATTTTCAGGTCAGGAGATGTGTAAAATAGGTAATCCCTGACTACTATTTAGAATTGCGGCAGGAGTTCATGTTGGTGTAAAAGTTCCAAGGAGTCTGAACAAAATAAATGTTATTTACAAACACCTACGCCTGAACTATCTGCTTTGTAGCGTGTAAACACTCATACACGAGTCTCCTACCTTGATGCAAAAGTTGCACGGAAACACAGTTACCTGGATTTCCTCTGATTTTTGTAAACTGTTTCAATTATTATAGGAAGCGAAACATTTATCCTGCCCTGCTTGTTTGAATCCCTGGTTTATTATGTGAAGCAATTAGAATAAAGTAGTTTTTCCTCCATCTGAACGGTGTGTTTATCTACAATAAACTAGAGTCTTCACAGCCGATTATGGTCTCACTGAAGCTTTGCAGTGACTATTTCTCTATACAGGGAAAATATATCCTGCAATACATTTCCAGAGTATTCAGATGGTGATGACCTCAACTGTACTTGGTCTCAGTTCGGCTGGATATACAAGGCTGATCTATATTTACCTGAAAAGTAACTGGGTCCATAGGATGGGCCATTGCCCTGAGCATTGGGAGGCCAGAATGAGGTACGATAGGTCATTTATCTTCATTATGCAATCATTAACCCCCATTAAAAGGGGCCAATCATTCTCAGAGTTATGGAATCCAGGTACTAACAGTCTCTGAGGCAAGGCTGAGAAAACTACCATTGTGTACCACTAACTTTGTTTCTATTAGAGACCACATGGCAAATTCCAAACAGTAACTGTGTAAACCAGCTGATTCCTATATTGGAGGTGGTATTTTTCTGCAGGTTGTTTTTGAAAATAAAAGCAAGTAAGAAGATCAATCTTGACAGACGGACACTGGCTTGGGGTTGTGATTCTAGCCTTACAACAACATGCTTCACAACTCTAGGAAAACCCATTCACCTTACATAATCTTGGTTTCTGCACGTAGGAACTGAGGGTGCTGAACCAGATAATGTCTCTAAATACCTTACAAAGCTAATCTGCTGATGTGTCCAAATTATCTCTTTGTTCTGACAACACTTCTCTGTAAATGTTCAGGCTTCCCTCATTATCTGCCTACCTGAGTTGGACTGT